AGAGAGAGAGAGAGAGAGAGAGAGAGAGAGAGAGAGAGAGAGAGAGAGAAACAGAACATATTATTGCTGTTGATCTCTTACAGTGCCTAATTCTTTTTTCTGGGCCTTGATCAGAAGGACTTGGGCTCACCCCGAGCGGCGCCAGGGAGTGGGTCTTCAATACACCACATTTCCCACACTGTGCCACGCATCGGGGATTCAGTGCTGGGCTCTTTACAGTGCCTAATTTATAATTTAAATTTTATCACAGGTATATATGTAACTGAAAAAAACAAAAACAAAAACAGCAAGGCCAGGCATGGTGGCACACAACTTTGATCCCAGCATTCAGAAGGCAAAGACAGTGGATCTCTGTGAGTTCAAGGCCAGCTTGGTCTACAAAGCAAGTTCCAAGACAGCCAGGGCTACACAGACAAACCTTATCCTGACCCTTCACCCTCCAAAACTGTATGAAGGGTTCAGTGTGGTATGAGGGTCTTTGACTATATCCCCCACAGATAAGAGGGAACACTGTGATATCAAACCAGTGTCTCTCAAACCTGAGCTCCCATCAGAAGCTTAAAGGTTTGTTCGTTTCAGACAGCTGCTCCCCAGCCATCTATGCTTCTGATTCAGGAAATCTTTGGAGGGGGTGTGTTTTTGTCTCTGAGACAGGGTCTTATGTAGCCTTGGCTGGCCTTGAACTCATTACATAGCCAAAGCTAGCCTTGAACTCTGCTTCTACCTCCCAAGAGCTGGGGTAAGAGATATGAGTCATTCTGTCCAGCCAGAATGTGAATTTCTTTGTGTGGGTATGGTTGCTCCTGCATGTGTGTAGACACACTATGTACGTGTGCATGTGGAGGCGAGAGGTCACACTGGGGTGTCCTTCTGTTCAGGCACTGCCCACCTTGTGTTTGAGACAAGATCTCTCAGTGGGACCTGGAACTCAGATTCCGCCAAGCTAGCAGACCAGGGAGCAGCACAAATCCCTTGACTTCACTTCTGCAGAGTTGAGAGCACAAGCGCGTACCGGCCACTACACTATAGTTTTAAGCGCATGCTGGCTGGGTATCAAGGTTCTCGGGCTTTTGCAGCAAGCACTTTACCCACTGAGCCATTTCCCCAACCCTAGATTCCAAACAAGTTCCCAAGTGTGGTTCCAGGGAACATGCTTCCAGAATCCCATGCTGAAGAACTTCCTGCTTACAAACCTTTCTGATGCCAATTGAATTTATCCATAAGGTATTAAAACAATCAGCATTTAAAACTAGACCTCCTTCCTTCCGGGTTACAACCAGATTTACACACACACACACACACACACACACACACACACCTGAGAAACATCAGAGATAGCTGAACAGACCAATAGTGGAATACACTAATTTGAAAGGTGTAGAAAGCAAGGATAGCAAAGATTAAGTGATTAACTGTCCTTTACTAACAGCCACAAGAGGTTAACAAATAGTACAACCCAGGGCTTCTAGATTCTCAAAGGTGTTTCAAAAATAATTTGGGATACTATCAGCTCAATATTGCCCCCAAAAAAACATTTTGCATGGGAAAGTTCTATATACTTCTACTATGATACAGTTCACACTCAAAATGTCAGTGGTAGTTTCTCCAAAGCTCATAACCAGAATAAGGAATAAAGAGCCTATAAAAAGAAAAAGTAGTGCCAAGTGGTGGTGCACGCCTTTAATCCCAGCACTCGGGAGGCAGAGGCAGGCGGATCTCTGTGAGTTCAAGGCCAGCCTGGTCTACAGAAGGAGTTCCAGGACAGCCCCAGAGAAAACCTGTCTTGAAAGAAAAAGAAGAAAGAAAGGAAAGAAAGGAAAAGAAAAAAGGAGAAAGAGAGAGGAAGAAAAAGAGAGAGGAAAGAAGGAAAAAGGGAGGGAGGGAGGGAAGAAAGAGAGAGGGAGGAAGG